TGACTTTCTATATTTACAAGCATCTTGTCCTTTCCCAAGGACTGGACCCTCCAGATAACATAGCTAAAGTACATGAAGCAGCCTCACAAACACAATGGAGGTTTCCTAAAGTCAGAACTGACTCAACAGCTGTGGGTTTAATTTTCACTGAAGCATACTACCCCACCTTTGCTCCCACAAAGCAGGAGGTGAGTTTCAGCCACTGACCTTTGATTGGCAGCTGTGCCCTTAGCCAGCGGTCACCAAAGCTCCTTGAGATGGAGCACTGTTGCTATCAAATGAAACACGAAGCATTTTCAAGGATATCAGTTTTAATTAACATGTTACATTTTTGGTTTAGATACAAAATCTCTGGACCAGGGAGAATAGAACTGATGACCTCTTAGGTCAGATTCAAATTAAAAATTCTGTGACTGCTTTTTTCCCCTCCCTGTGTTTCTATGTGACGTGATAGAAGATACAATATTCTTCGAGATGCATAAAAGTGCTGACAAATTATAATCCCTTAATTGAGTTACTTTTAATTGGATTAATTTAGATGAATATATCCACCCAATTCAAGTCAACCTATTGAAGAGAGCCTACTGAATTGTGATGTGCTCACTAAAATGTCTATAACACAGGAAACTGAAGACTGCAGAGGACAAAAAGAATAAACACATCATGGTTTTGCACACTACTTTCTGCTCTTTGGACATGCAGCCTTGATTTAATACCATCCACCTATAGGAAAAGATGGTGGCTTTATTTTTTTTTCCCTTCCAACCACAGCTTTCCTTTTCTTGACACTGCTTTCTTTTTAACTTGGGGAAGTGGGCTGGAGGATGACATGAATGACGATGCAGAGCTTTAGCATCTTAAAACAAATTATTAGTGGATAATTACGATACTCTAGCACTCATAAACCTCAGGTTTAGAAAATCCAATATAAGACAGCATTGACTTGCCTATGAGATGCCTCAGCTACAAAAAGTAGCTCAAAATTTATGTAGTAACTGACTTCTTAAAAAGCTTTCATATTGACTAGGGAATAATGAAAGTAATTCCTCTCATACATAGAAGACACTTCTCTATGAAATCTCACTTTCTGAAAAACATCTAAGAACCCAGGAAAAGAGAACAGGTGGCATCTAAACATTCTTTCATTATAACATTCACTTATTACCTCCTGCTTCACAGGGAGTAAGTAACATCCCGAGAATATAAAAATGAATGAAAAATCAAAATACAAAAGACAAATATTTTATGAGCCCACTTATATGAAATAGCCAAATAGGGAAATGTACAGAAACCAGAGTGTATTAGTGGATACTAGAGGCTTGCAAGAGGGAAGGGAAAAGGGGCTCATTGCTTTGAGGACACAGTTTTTATTGAAGGTTATAGAAAATGTGAATGAGGTAAAGTTGATATTTAAACAGTACACTATGTATAATTATTATCATTGAATTACACATGTGAAAATTACAGAAATCATAAACATGTTTATATCTATTGCAATAATATCTCTTACTAAATCTCTGCTCTAAATGTAACGTCAGTTGATTTTCAGAAAGGGCAACTTGTCCCTCCTCCAGGCCTACCTAGAGTTTCTGGGAGCACAACTGGTGAAGAACTTGGCTACTAAATAAAATGTTGGCAGTTCAAATCCACTTACAAGGAATCCACTCAGAAGAAAAGCCTGGTTGTCTTCTGAAAAATCAGGAACAGAAAACAGGTCTACGGTAACACATAACATGGCCCACCGTAAGTTGGTGTCAAGTAGGCAGAAACAACTAAACAGAAACTGACTCCTTGGATGCTTCAGCTCTGTTGACACTTATTTTATAGAAACTATAAACCTGGTTAATGTTTTCATTTTCCACAGCTCTCTGTCCCTAAAGCAGCACATCGGACATTGGGATGGAGTACTGGACACAGGCCTACAGAGAAGGCAGAGTGGTTTCCTAGTCAGTTTTCTTACCTGTAGGGAGTGTCATTGAGAACCCTGGGGCAACACTCCTCCAGCAGTTCAAATCTACCAACAGCTCTGAGGGAGAAAGACAAGCAATCTCTTCCCCGGGGATTTACAGTCTTCTGAAAACTCACTGGAAGGTCAGTTATGAGTTAGCTCCAACCTGATGGCAATGAACGAGGGTTCACCATGATCGGTAGCCTCCCCTAGCAGAGGACACACAGGACCTTCCAGTAAACACTCCCAGACAAACCCTGCTCATTATATAGTCTTATCTATCACTGCCACAGAGTCTGAACAGATTCCGAACTGACCCTCCAGTGCGTTTCCCAAGGCTGAAAATCACAAGACACAAGATTGCCCATCTCATAAGAAAGTATGTCCTTTGGATTATCAATTATCTTCAGACCACGGCACCAGAGCTCCCTGGATATCTATATGTTCACTCATAAATTAGATATCATTTCTCAATACAACATGCTGTTGTTAGCTGCCATTGAGTCAAATGCTACTCACAGTGACCCGATGAACCACAGATCTGAATCTTGTCCTACCCTGTGCCATCCTCACATCTCTGATAAACGTAAGGTCATTTTTGCAGTCACTGTGTCAATCCACCTAGTTGACGGTCTTCATCTTTTTTCCATTCCTCCACCTTCCCAAACATGATGTCCCTTTCCAAGGAATAGCCTCTTCCAGCAACACACCCAAGTATGTGAGAAACATTATCATCTTTGCCTCCAAGATGCATTCTGGTTGTACTTTCTTCAAAACATATCTGTTTCTTCTTTTGGCAGTCCATGGGATAATTCAGTACCCTTCTCCAATACCACAGCCCAAAGCCATCATTTCTTCTTCATCATTCTTATTTATTTTCCAGGTGTCAGATGCACAGCAAGTGATCAAAAAGACCATGGTTTGAATCAGGCACACCTTAGTCCCAAATTAACATCACTGCTTCTCAATAATTTCGAGAGGTCTCTGATTGCAGATTTTACCAGTACAGAACCTAAAATTTGCAAAAGTTATAAAAATTGCAAAGGTTAACATCTCAAGGTAGTTTATGATTCCATATGAAGCCACCACCAGAACACAGAATATTTAGACTTCTTCTAAACAAAAAAATTGTTACTAATATTCCAGTATCTTTTTCTGTGTACTACAGTGTGCTATGTTCTAAATCCATTTCGAGCAGGAAATGGGCAGATACTTTGGACAGAAAAGTGAAATATCACTGTTTTTCTTTATTTTTTTTATTTCAAATTATTAGACTAGAGGCTAGCTCATCAGTTAACAGTAGTGTACAGAATGCAGATTAGATACAACTCTGAAGAATTAATCAACTAATTCAACCACCACAGAAATATCATCTTTTAAATCATGATTTAGCGATTTCTGTTTTGAATTCTTATCACGTTATGTTGTGGTGTCAAAACCAACTTGTAGCTATCCCTCCAGCAAGTTTTCAGAGCTTTCAAGGAGTAGCTAGCAGATTTGGACTTTCTCAGCACAGCTCCTTACCCACTCGGCCACTAGAGCTTCCGTCTGAATTCTCTCTCCAAAACCTGAAACCCTAAAAGAACTCTCAAACCTTCTGTCTTCATTGCATCCTGACACTGGATAGGTCTTTTGGACCACAAACTCCACACCCTGTTATACTCCTAGAACATGAGAGCGGAAAGGGACTTTCATAGTCCACATTTACTAACAGGAGGAAATGAAGAACAAACAAACTCAGTTACCGTCTCAAGTTTATGCAGTCATCTGGAAGGAGAAATAAAACAGGGAATTACACTTGTAAAAACCCAGACCAGGAATCCAGACTCATTCCTTCTCTCATGCTCTTGCTGTCAACTAGGGACTGACTCAGAGCTGAACCACAAGAGGGTCAGATATTGTTCAGTTCTGACTATATAGTACACAATGACAACAGCAACAATGTGTGTATATATTTATGAGGGATATCTATCTGTGTTTCATAGACTATGGGGTCTTTGAACTACAAATCACACAGTGAGAGACTGGCCATCTTTCCTCTGGATTTGAACTACCAGAGAGGTGCCATCTTTGGATTAGCAGTGTAACTCCCTACAGACTACACCACCATCGCACTGTCCTTGCTGTTGTTAGGTGACATTGCATCAATTCCAACTCACAGGAAACCTGTGAACATCAGAACTGAGCGTTGCCCTGTCCTAATACTCTGCTCATGCTCTCATATACTCCCGCTCAATATCAGAGTCACTGTGTCAATCCATCTTAAGGGTCTTCCTCTCTTTTTCTAATTCGCCAACTTTTCTAGCTTCATGTCTTTTTCCAAGGACTGGACCCTCTTGACAACGTAACCAAAGTTTATGAGACTAAGTTTCACTATCTTTGCCTCAAAGGCACACCTGTTCACACTTCCTCCAAGATGGACTTGTTAGTTCATTTGGCAATCCATGCATATTCTGTATTAATGCCAAAATGTAAAGGCATTAATGCTCTGTCATCTTTATTTATTGTCCAACTTTCATATACCTAGGAAGTAACTGAAAAAACAAAACAAAACAAAACAGGGTTTGGATCAGTGCACCTTAGTTATCACGCTGAAATTCTTGCTCTTTAGCACTTTGGAGAGGTCCTTGAAAGCAGGTTTCCCCAATGTAACACATATCTTCATTTCTTTTTTTTTTTTATTTATTTCTTCGTATTTCAAATGAGTTGGTTTAATTCCAGGTGGCACATAATTCTGGGCACAGCGATGAATGAAGAGGAGATTCTGACAGGATTCTGGGTTGCATTTACTTTGCACAGCTAAGATCAGAATGGCTGAGTGAGATCTGGAGATGGATCATCATAGGGTTTCTTCTTCTTCACTGTTTTACAAAGTTTCTTCTTAAATGTACAACAGGCTCCAAGGCAACACTTCATTTTGACTACAGGTGGCAATAGATGTTGCAGCAGACAATCCAGGCGTTTTAAAAAGGAACGGAAATAAGACTCATCATCACCTCAGTCTTATTTTTTGCCAGATATCTTAATTCCATCGTGGCCAGGGGACCTTTGCCTGTGGCCTTCGCTTTTAGTTCCTCGAGTTTCTTCTGTTCTTCTTTTTGTTTCTGCTTGAAAGCCTTATCTTCCTCGTCCATCTCATTGCTCTGCTTCTTGGGCTGTTTCAGGGGCTTCTTTTTACCACCTTTGTGGCCAGATATGTTGCCGGCCGCCTCTTCCCCAGACCTGCTGCCACATCTTTTCATTTCTTGACTGTAGTTCCCACGGATTTTGATTGTGGAGCCAAGTAATATGAAATCATTAACAACTCCAATCTTTCCTCCACCTATCATGATGTGCTAGAAAGTATTTTTTTCCTTGATGTTGAGATGAAGCTCATTGAATATTCAATACTCCATATTGAAGGCTGCAGTTTTTCATCTTCTGCAGCAAGTATTTCAAGCCTCTTCACTTTCAGTAAGCAAAGTTGTATCATCTGCATAACACCGGCTGTTGTGGAAATTATAACTTTATCTGTTAAAGAAGAGATTGTTTTGTCGTTATGTGCTCGAGTCACTTGTGACTCATAGTGACCCTATGTACAACAGCTCTGAACCTTGCTCTGTCCTCTGCAAACCTCATAAGAGAGGCACAAATTTAGAGATGGCCTTGGAAATACTTTTCTAGTTATTCTTTACTTCCAAACTAAGGCACTGAGATGTTACAGACAGGCATGAAGATGTCACTTATGAGAAGGGCTTATACCACATTCTCCTTCATATACTAGAACTTCTCAGATGAATTTTTTTTCAGCCTACAGATTGAATAAGTAAGGTGAAAGAATACAGCCTATTTCAGACAACAGCTTCCTAGTCTATGTACAGATTTCACATGAGTATAATTAAGTGTTCTGGGATTCACATTCTTCTCAATTTTAGCCATAATTTTAATGAAACATACATTCAAATAACTTTTGTACAGAAAATAAAACACAGATGAACATCTTTCTGCCCTTCTCTGATCTCAGCCAAGATCTGTTTGATATCAGTAATGATATCCCTCATGCTACAGCCTCTTCTGAATCCACTTCGGAATTGTAATAGGTCCATGTCAATATTCCTTAATTCAGCTTGGTTATGCAACAGTTCCTGTCAATACTGAAGCCATTTAAAAATAATTTACAGCAAGATTTTATTTGTATGTGATATTATTGTTCAATAATTTCCATATTTTGTTGTATTACTTTTCTTGAGAATGACAACAAATAAGGATCTCTTTCTGTTAGTTAGCTATATAGCTATTTTCCAAATTTCTTGCCATAGATTAGTGAGCATGTCCAGGTCTGCATCTGTTTGTTGAAACATATCAGTTTGTATTCCATTAATTCCTGGGGCCTTATTTTTTGCCAATGCCTTACTTCTTTCTTCAGTATCATTGGTTCTTGATCATATGTTACATCCTGAAATAGTTCGGTGTCAACCAGTTCTTTTTAGTACAGTCACTCTGCATTCCTACCATTATCTTTTGATGCTTCCTGAATCATCCAAGACTCTGGCCATCAATGCAAAATAAATGTGTTATGCAATGCAAGGCTTGAGTTTGTTCTTCAGTTCTTTCAGTTTGAGAAAAATGTTGAGTGAGTTCTTCCCGTTTTATTCTTTGACTCCAGTTCTTTGTACATGTTGTTATAACATTTGGCTCTGTCTTTCAAAGATCCCTTTGAAATCTTCTGCCCATCTCTTCTATTTTAGTATTTCTTCCATTTGTTTTTGCTGCTCTATGTGCTCATGCAATTTGCAGAGTCTCTTCTGACATCCACGGTGGTCTTTCCTTTCTCTCCTATCTTTGCAATGTTCTTTTGTTTTCTTCATGGTTAAGATTCTTGATGTCTTCCAAAACCGCATGTGATCTTTGATCATTAGTGTTGAATGCATCAAATTTATTCTTGGGCTGGTTTTTAAATTCACATAGTATGGACTCAAAGTCATATTTTGGTTCCTCTGGACTTGCTTTAATTTGCTTCAATTTGAACCTGAACTTGAGTAACTGATGATGGCCTTGGCCTTGACTTGATGCTGATATTGAGCATCTTTATCAATTCTTTCCATAGACGTAATCAATCTTATTCCTATGTATTCTATTAGAGGAGGTCCATGTGTATAGTTAGGATTTGGTTGTATGTGTTTTTTTAAAGGTATTTGCAATGAATAAACCACTAAGTGTGTAAAATCTTGTCATTTGATCTCTAGTATCATCACACTAGCTTCCCTTGTAACATCTCTAATTCATACTGAATAAACTGAATCTAAGGGTAAAGGCAGGGAAGAGTGGGGCAGGGAAGATAACTGCAGAACAAACCAGTGGAAATTTCTTAAGACAAACAGAGGAAGAAAACCAGGTAGCACCACTAAGGGCTGCTGGGAAATGTTGAGGTTTCCTGGGATGGCTCCTGGAGAAGAGAGTGGTTCCCAGATGCTTAGCAACTTGCCATGTGTAGTGGGGTCCTTCAGGTCTTTGTCTGAAACAAGGACAAAAACAACAGCAACAGCTGTCATTTTTGGAGCACCCATTACCTTGTCCAGTATCATAAGTTTACTCACTCACTCTCATTGCTGTTGTGTGAGAATCTACTCATAGCTGAACATCTTGTGGGCCTCTGGATGCTGTGAAGAGCACAGGAAGAGAGTGCTCAGCTTTGTCCCTTGGGACAGGTGGTGGATTCGAACTGTCAGAAAGGCGTCATATTTGGGTTAGCAGTGCCAGCGCTCTAAGGCCTACACTACAAGAGCGTAAACTAATGTACATTACCAATAATATTTTTCTGCTACATGAGCACATTGATACATGAGGTTAAAGAAGTTCAAGGTCAGCTAGCATGCCCTAGCTTCAGATCACTGTCTTTTTGCTGCTGTTCTCCTTAGCAATTGCCGTTGAGTCCACTCGGAACTCTCATGTATAATGAATGGAACAGAACATTGCTATACTTCTTCGTACAGTGATTTCATTGGTTAATATTTGGAAGGAGATCATCAGGCCTTTCTTTCTAGCCTGTTCCAGTCAGGAAGCTCCCCTGAATCCTGCTCAGCCTCTGTGGGAACACAAAATTCTCTATAGACAGACGGGGTGGCTGTGCGTGGAGAGCATTAATCAAACTCAGGTCCTCCTCATGAAATAAGAGAATTCTAACACACAACCACCAAGATCTCTACCTTTCTCTTTCCTTTCCTGCAGACTCCTCTGTTCTAGTTTAGCACTGATATTCCTTAAGCAAATGAAGCTTTGGAAAGTCTATGAGGTAAAATATATTGAGAGCAGGTCTCTTCTGGAGACAGCTGTGCGAGAGCCCCAGACCCTTGCCACTGCTCTCCCCAGCTCCACACCCCAGCTCAGAGGGCTGGCTCTGGTGTGGGTTCCAGAACTCCTGGGTCTCTGAAAGCTGTCAAGGGATATTGATGGGGTGTTCTCATCCTGTAAATATGGCTCCACTCAACTCTGACTTTACTTACAATAAATCCTTCAGCTAAGTCTTTAACCTGGAGAAGCAGAAGGAAATCAGTCACCCCACTGTTTTGCATCAGTAAAGTGGAAAAGGCAAAGAGAACAGGACAGAAGCAGAGCAATCTAAACCCATCAGAGGAGTCTAACAACAGGCTTCAACTTCCCCTCAGCTTTATTCTCCTCTGAAAGTATTTGGGATACACACTTGGTGTGGGAGGCTGTGCGGTTTAGCTGTGCCACTGCTCACAAAATAATAATAAAGTTCCATTTACACAGCTACTAATCAATAACTGTTAGAGGTGATTAAATGAGCCTTGTTTAATGTTGTCTCTTAGAAGTTCACAGGAAAGGCAGAGACGTTGGTATTATGCAAAGAGGCTTTACAAGCTCCTTAAACAAAAAAGAAGGAAAGGCAACTAAACACAGCATTTACCAAGAATTAATTTTTACTAGGATAAAAATTGCACCAGTACATACACATTAAAACAGTTCTCTTCATAGTTTCCATTTTCTCATGCTCACATGAAGAATATCTGTTTCAAACCTTGCAAATCTTTATGTCTTCCAAGTAGCAAATACTCATGTGGCAGTTAAGTGAGACAGAATAACACCACATGGATTTCTGTGGACAGAACATCTCATAAATATATTTTTTTCCTTGTAGAACTCATTCTTTCTGTTTTAAATTCACAATTTTAAAACTTTTGTCATCTGGAAAATAATTTTAAGGTAATTAAATTTAAAAAATTATCAGAGAAAGAATAGTGTATAGCAATTCTATCTGAAACCAACTAACATATTTATGAACATAGAGAGGGTTCTATTTACAAAGACAAAACAGTAATTCATCCCTCTCTTTACTTCCCAAATGCCACTCCGTCAGCTCATCATTCTTTATTCTTAATCATGGGCCACCTTACTCCAATCCACCACCTTTGGTCTAGATGTCCTGCCTGAATTTACTCTCTCTACGCTTATCGTGGGATCCATTCTCCATACCGTGAGCAGTTATGAATTTAAATCTGGCCCCTCTGGATGCAGTATATAATCTCTTGTCATTCTAGTGCTTCAAGCTCATCAGAAACTTTCCTTCTCCATGCTTCTCAAGATGAAGAACAATGACATTTTTATCATGACAAGACAGTAAAACCTATTGCCCTTGGGTAGACTCCAACTCCGTGACCCTTGTAGGACAGAATAGAACCACTCCGTAAGATTTTCAAGGCTGCAATCATCAGAAAAGTGGTCTAAGTGAGGGGAAAGAGGGGGGAACGTCTTCTATCAAAGTTCTCTATGTTTATGCTTAAAGAAGTAAAAATTTTAAGTAATGTCTTTCCACAATTCCATATTAATATCCATTGTTCATGTTTGTCACACCCTAGGTCTTCTTGCTAAGCTCCATAAAGCCTACAGATTTCAGTGACAGAGTACTCCCCCACCCCATCTTCTCAGGATCAGTGTGTTAATGTATTGAAACACCCAGGTGTACAGAAGTACCTTTGATCTTAGGCGTAAATCTAATCAGAATGCCCAAATAGATCTAGGAACTTCACTCAACATGATAATATCCTATTATTGTTTCCACGCTTACTACTCCAGTATGTGGAAAGTGAATTACAGCGGTGATCGGTGATCATGGGTTCACAATTTGAACAGTAGCAGCAGCAGTGTGCCAGACCCTGCGTTCAACACATCATAATGATTATGTGATACAGCCCTTGAAGCAACCTTAGAGAGACTAATTTTAAAAAAGAACCTTGAGAAGGAC